TCTAGTTTGTGTATTAAAAATGTATCCTATATGCTTGAGTATGTCCCCATTGTGGCAGTATTCCTCCATCGTAGATCGATGCTCCCTTGTGCGTTTTCCTCTGACTGTGGCTCACTGTGAGGATGAATCTTTATCAATAATTCGTAACATGTTAGTGGTTAATTGTGTCATCAAACAAAACGAGCAAGGTTGATGCATACGCAAGTCAGGTCAGTCAGTTAACTTCCAAAAGCATTCATGCAGATGAGGCTTCGTCTTGATCACACAGCTTCCTACTAGCTATTGAACCCCACATGTACTACGACACCCATAGCCACTTGAGGAATAATACTTTGAAGGAATTAACTACTGCATCCGTTGCGCAGTTATCCAACTCTGTTTTCAACCCATTGGGATGTAAAGCTAAACGAAAACCTACTTACTTTACCACCATAAATCTTGCTATCTGAGACTGCTATGCTGCATTCACATGGTCCCTGTTTAAGACGAACGTCTAGACATTGGTGAAAGCAGAATATTGGATATTCTCCTAAAACAAGCTGGAAATCCGATAAGAGGACATCCCAGACATCACCAAAAATCACAGTCACATTTGTTTACGTGACGGAACAGATCAGCAAATTGAGCTACGGTTCAAGTTGGGCAAAAATATTCTGGTTTGGTGGATATGGGCCTAAATATCGAGTCTCACAGCGTGGAAAAACTTGGATGAATGCTTTCTGAATTCTGTCGTTACTTGTATCCTACTTAAATGAGGGGACTTCGCACATCAACAGATCCGTTGGAACGGATGTGTTCGACCATGAAACACACTTCTTATTTGGACGAAGAAGGGAATCTTTCCCCCAGACTATGGATTCACATTGTATACAACCCAAATTTTGATTACTAGCGACTATATATATATATATTATATATATATATATATTATATATATTATATATATATAGTCTATGCATCCTAGGTAAGAACAGTAGTCTGCACAAGGATGAATTCATTGTTCGTATATCTTAACTCTCATGAGGATTTCACAATGTGTCTGATTTAATGTGCGTTAATTACGGTTGCAAGAACAATAGGATTTACACGTGATTTGTTGTTCAAAGTTTTTCAGATCGAACATAACAAGAGGACCAAAACGTGTTCTCCTACTGATTACAATATGTATTATTATTTGGCCGATCGATAACAACAATGGTTGCCATAGGAACTTGTTGAAATCAGATAATTCGTTCTCACCGATCGAACATTACAGAAAGAATCGAATCCAACCGTCTGTTCTTGTTGAAAACAGGCGAGTACTTAGTTAGGTAGCTAGTCTAGTGATCTATTTATTTCAGCACGCCCCTCCCCCCAAATATTGTATGGGTTCCAGAAGATTGTTTCAAATTACCGTCCCTTCAATAGGAGTAATATGCTCCAACTATTTTGTAATGAACGACGGGGATACCCACTACTTGGTCCAAACCCATTCAGAGATTACCCGTGTGTCCAGATGCTTGCGGGCGAAAAAAGGCAAGGAAAACTGCTTAGGTTTGAACTTGTTCCTAACGAAAAAACTGGACGACGATACTGACATTATGTATTAATCATACGGCTAACACTGTGTCATCCCTAAATGGTTGCCTCCCTTAGCCGGATCATGATAAAACACTTATTTTATTGTGAACTCTTTGCAGTATGATGCATAGAAAGAACAAGCTAACCCGAATTCTATGCAGACCGTAATCCAGTAAACCCAGCGAACCCAAGCCCTCTAATTCCATGAGTGTTCTTGAATCACCTGAAGAACTGACTTCAAACACAAGGTACATCAAAATTCCGTAAGAGGTAGGAGCAGTTGGCTTTGATTGGGTCAAAATAATTGCTTCATAAACTTAGGTTGGTGCGTTCGTTTCAGCAGAACAATTGAGGATCGCAAGCACAGATGCCAGTTTTCGTTTCCTTGATGTCAATACTGTGCGCCAGAGTGTTATTTTGACTGAATGTCCGAACTAACAAGGGCTTATTAAAGGGTTTCAGAGAGCTTCGCGCTTTCGCTGCGTCCTACCGAAAGACAGAAAATAGACGACATTTGATGATTCGCCCTCCTCGCTCACCAGTTAACCTAAGGCTTGCTTGTGTCCATCTTAGGAATTTTAGTTAACAAATGTGCGACCTGTGTATCTCGAGGTTGTGCGTGAATGACGTAATTGCCTGATTTGTCAAACTTTTTCACAGTCTGTCTCAACTCAACTTTGAATGACGACACTCCACAATGATCATTTCTATAAGTAAACCCTTTATGACGATCTCTTCAAATCCATGTTGTGAGCATTGTGGACCATCACTTCGTCCAGATCAGGAAATCCCACACTTTGATTCAGTGTGCCCTGGAATTGACACAACTTTTAAATCATAGCAGAAGGGAAACAGGTAAGCAAGCCGAGGCTGCCAACACAGGTTCAAATCGGCTGCTGGAATTTTCGCATCGCACTGAGTGACTATGTGATGTTTTCAAGATTTCCGACTAGACGTTATATACGCCAGTCAGACATCCGACTACTCCACGTAGCACACCTACTTCTGTCTCTAATACAACGGTCTAATAGACAAACAGGGTCTCTACATGGTGAACTTTACCTTGAGTGACCGTATCCACAATACAACTATAGCGTGATTAGCGGCTTGTCTGGAATCGCGGGAGCTCCATTTACAGGCACGCTGCTAGATTTAGCCGCAGCTTCCGTTACTGTAGTCGTGTACATGACCACCTCCTCATCCAATATCACTCCCCAATAAACTGCATGGAGTAAGTTGGAAGGTTTGGTCGGTGCACCGTGGGCAAAATTCTCGCATAAATCGATATGATGACTCCTGTCGCTATAGTTCTGAAAAGCCTGGCCTGGGCGAATGAGGTTAGACTTGTGACAGACTTCTGGAATCACTTCATAGTCATCGGATGACGGTTACACTTTCTCTTAAATGGACTTTGTCGCGTTTTAGATGAATATATAGGCTTCTCATGTTTGGGATCAACAAATCGGTAATTATTTGCCTGGTTCACCAACTAGTGGGAGCACACATGTAGTTGTTTCGTAACGTCTCCTTTAGATCATCAAATTCAAGAATTCCAGTCTGTTTTGAAACCAATCTGGATAAAATCGTCGGGAAAACAAAGTAAGCAGACATGAAATCATCCACTATGCCAAAAACAGGTCGCTTGAAGATTATAGGTGATATGCAAATAAAATAATATTGACTTCTGTCGGCTTGCGAGAGGCTGAGGTTGGGTAACTGGAGGGCCGCCAAGAAGCCGAACCATTCGACAGTAATTGATACATGTCTGGATATGCTCTAAGATGAAGTGATATCAGGAGCAAGTTGTTTGGGTACACAGGCAGCACCCAAGAGAATGAGAAACGCCAGGCAATGAACTTGCAGACTTTCTCGAGGGAAGTCTATAATTTTCAGCACCTTTCTCAACACCTCGATTTCAAAAGAAATAAAATGTGGCTCCGCTAGAAGTATGCTAAAACCACAACGAAGTGCCATACGTAAAAGAGCATGTACTCTTACTCTATGAATGGGAATTCATGATACCTATTGTGTGGGCGAAGTTTAATTTCAGCGCTAGAGACGAGCGAAACGAAGGTGGATATCAGCAAAAATATGTGAATTATTTTGAAGAAATATCCAATAATGTAAAAGCTAAAATACACTGCTGTTAATAGACCTCATTAAACTCGACAATAATTTTCAGTGCTTGGTTGTTGGTCTGTTCGCCGAGCTTGGCAGTTGGATTGGATTGCACCAAGCTCGGCGAACAGACCAACAACCAAACAGCGCACCCGAGCTACCTACATTCCACAACATTGCTAATTTTCAGTGCTACTGGAAATACAGTATTCACCGAGGTTAATGCCTTGATATTTACGACCCTTCCCTTAAAAAAATTCGTGGATGCAGGAATATTCGCAGTCATTTGACCAAGTCAAGACCGGGTTCCGAACCCGATCACTATGGGTTCGGGCTTGACAGAGAGGTGAAGAGTTCACTATGAAGCATTTGACTTCCATTTCGGACTTAGGGATTTTTATTATATAAATTTAAGGAATTTCGACCTGGCGTTGATCAAGTCATCTGTCTGCTGCAAAGAATAACAACTCTTTTAATTTAACCAAGAAATTACTCCCAATTTCAGTCCAGCGTGGCCTGACCAGCCTCTCATAATCCAAGAGAGCTTCGAGTTTCTTTACTCGTGCAAATTATCTTTATTTGTATGAACAGAGTAAAAAGCAAGTGGTTGCGTAAACTTGTTCCCAGATTTCAAGCCTCGAACCCGGCAAATAGATTGAAATGAAGTGGTGTTGACATATTTCGGTAACATGTCATGTATTGATCTTTTGATATCGATGAATTTACTGACCTAAGTGAAAAGGCCTACAACTAAACATATTACAATACTTTGAAGCACATCAACGTTGACGTTTAATGTTAGAGTAACGTTGAATTCCTAGGAGTTAGTCTGATTTTTCTGTGATGTGTGCACAATACTTGGCCGATTATTTGAAAAAACACGTTTGTTGAATACGAATTATCCTTACTGATCGTCCAATAACTAAAGCATCACCAGCTGCGAGTAGAAAAGCTATGTGGTCACTGCTCTTCGTTTGCAAAACTTTTAGGGCGTAGTATATAGCGTGAATTGGGGATACAAAATCTAGTGAGTGATGTATTGTTGTCCGACTATTAAGAATCGTAGCTTGCTAACTGCTGCTCATAAAAGTCTCATCCAAAATCTAACCACCTTTAGTTCGTCAATTTTTGATGATGGAACTTTTCGAAGCCTGTTATTGTGAACCATATCCGGGCCTGACCCAATCCGCCTAGCTTCTTTCATTGACCATTACTGAACCGAAAGTTTTCGAATTCTTCAAGGTTTTTATTCACTTAGCCGTCATCAGTAGTCGCAATGGACCAATATTGCAAATCACACTGACTGTGGCGGTACCACGTACTGTAAATGCGGTCGCGTCGAATTTCTGTTTCAAACCACCCCAGAGGCAAAGCTTGTACACCACTCGGTTGGCTGGGTTGACGATACATGGCTGATAAAAACGAGAACAAGGTCAACATTTAGTTGTTTGCGTCAAACTAGCTAACTGGAATGCTGGGCTGCATAAATCCCACCGTCTCTGAATGCCTTTACGGAAGTTGTGGGTGTGCGCGCGCACTGAGATCCGTATGCAAAACACGACAGCGACACGGGACGACGCAGCATATGATTGGTGTACATTCAAACCAATTAAACACCCAGGCTTGTGAACGTCGGTGCAGAACACATCCTGGCCTGTCAGCTCACGGATTAAACACCGATGCGGCATGCGTCAGCTGATCTGCACACACTGCCGGTCGGTGGCCAGACAACCACAGGGCACGTCGTTCATAAAAGCTGGTTAGGACGTGGATTTTGATGGCCGGTGATGAGTGAACACTCCACGAGCATTCCGGCCGGACTTATTCTAATGAATTAAAGTTTTAATAACATGCTCCGATCGAAAAAGCCCACTTCGCTAAGCCAACACACCAAAGACGTAGAAAGCACCGATACAGGAAGCACTGAAGGCAATTCGTTTGTCGATGTCGGGTGGGTGGGACCAATCACGTGAGTTTTATAGATTTTTGATCATATGTATTGTTTGCATTCGGTATGTTAGTCTCGCACCTGAGGCTCTGAACAGACTGTTACGCCGTACCCGGATGCTTGGGGTTTTGGCATTCTGATTCGTCACTGATTGATGCATTCACCACATGTCCTCCGTTCACAGAAGCGCCCTGATGGTCAAGCTGAATGCGTCAAACTGACCAGGTCAATACCGATATACCACATTGGCCTACGAAAGCGTCATTGTTCATTCACGAGGCCATGAGCATATGATCTTAGTAGTAAGCACCACAATACTGGCTGGAGTCAAGTTCCACATCGCATGTATTACTCGCCCTACCCGGTTAATCAACAAACTGGGAAGTGATAAACCCGTAGTGTATCGAGGAGCAGTTAGAACCTCTACAGAAAATCACAGAAGGGTTTAGTGGTAGTGGATAATTGACCTTTACAATCATTATGCGCACGTTAATCAGCGAATAATCAAGTAATCCGTTGGACGGAGCACCCAGGATCGGCTATGATGACGGATATCGAGTTAAGGACGACATAACTAGGGCTTGCAAATAGATTGCGCGAACCAGTAGGTGAACAGCTATTAGGCTGACGCTATAACACGTGAAGGTGTAGTAATGACCAACAATGCTTAGTGCACTGCAGCTCTAAATATGGATGTGTCGAATCGTTTCTGATTCATGTACGATACATCTCCAGTTGCGTTACGCTGCGTCTGGTGCTCGAATGGAATCTCCCAACAGAGAGACCCCTATCGATTATGAACTCTGACACGCAATGGTTACAGAATTATTTAGCGTCGTTTGACACATATGTTACGAGTGATTCACTCAATATCAGTTTAGTGACTCCTTACAACGAAGGTGGAACTGAAACCTTCGTAACACTTTTCGGATGACTCACAAGTTTTTCTCTTATGATGTTGCTCAAATTGCCCTCAGCAGTCTGCCTAACTTGAACATCCGACCGGCATTTGCTGGCATCAGTTTTTGTTAAGAAGTACAGAGGAGCAGAATAATATCGGCTTCCACTGAGAATCCCCTCGCAAATGGTACGACCTAACTGTTAAGTTATGCTTTTCGTAAACTTGTACAAGATAACCCTAGGGAAGCCTCCACACAGTGCACGGTCATTTGATTAGTAGTGGTATTTTATCAGTAGCTTCTGCCTTGTAAAAGTCTAAATTCAAATGATATCTCCAAGCTACCAACTTTACGATGGCGCACGACATTTTTAAATGAAAAGAGGACCGGACGAAACTACCAGTTTTTCACCAGGTTCTTTGAAACAAAAAGATGACAAAATATTATAATTGGGAATTATAGTGGTGAGGTTGGCGTTGAATATTTGTATTGTTTGCTGCGGCCTTCGGGACAGAATGAACAAATATCTCCTTGACTCACACGATGGACGACTTAATGCAGACGCTTGGACTTGGATGGGAAGCCAAAACCCGGCCCCAGTCACGGGTGAAATACATTTCACTTGGTCCCATCACAAAGATTCAGCCTTCGATTGGACCTTCGTTCTAGGCGCAGGTTTTTTTGCTCTTCGAGAATAGCATAGAGGGGCGGGTCACCCAAAATGCATGATCGAAACAAACAACGGAAAGTTATTTCACAACCGTGTACACAAATTACACATAACTCGGAAAGTGAGAGTGACTGTAATTCGAACTAGGAAGCCGGAAACGGTGATAGACCTGAGGTGTCGGGAGGTAAATCGGGGAATTCACCGGTTCGTTAGCAATTCATCAATGAGCTGGCAACTAATCGCGGAGCTAGATTGTCTTTTTTAAGAATTGGTCCTTGGGGTTGGGGCTGTGTGTTTGGTGGAGTAAGACAATTTAGTGAAATCTGACATAGGTGGGACTGAGCGGTTTTCTGCTTGGCGCCCAGTTTCTGTTTCACATTTTAGTTGGGGCACTTTTTGGCCTGTCAGTTTGTGGAGGGCGCAAAGAACTTCAAGTGATGCCAATTGAACTGGCGTGTTTCCTCCTACAGGTTTTGTGAGTGCAAGAAATAGCCATGGCAAGTGTTGAAAGTAAATCACCGCAATTTTTGCTCCTTAATACATTAAAGTGTCACATTCCAGGTAAGCTTTTTTCCCGCGTCTAAGCGTTAACCTTCACCTAGGCCTGCTAAGATGCTACTCTTCAGATGTTCTATAAAAAAGTAAGCATTAATAATCAGTACAAAAATTTTTGGTTTTAAAAGTCCACCAGTTTACTGGCCTAAACTCAGTCAATCACCCACAGATGCAAACATGTGAGCAAGACAAGTGTGTTGGACGCCATCGTGTTTTTTCTTTAACTTGGTCAAAATTTCTCAATTGTTCGGTTTGCCATGACACTCAATACGACGGCATCGCCACGTCATTTTTGTGGTCACTGGCTAAGTGACTACACGGTTTCTGTTACACAATGCTACTCAGGACAATATTAATGCTGATAACTTGCTCACCTCATGTGAGGCAAAAGAACACGAGGAGATTTTCTCCCTCACAGTATGGTGGGTGATAGTGTCATAATGGTACTGAAATTATTTGCCTTTCAAACTAGAAGTATCTTGTTCCTGCCCTAAGACCCCTTTGGACACTACCTATTTTTTCTCCTAGCCTGGATATTTTCCTCATTCCACTTTCCCACCGCAGTTGCGTCATTTTCACAGCTTCAGTAAACCTGACCGTTCACCTCCCAGCTATGTAATCCGATTTATTTCTACAACTGATTGGTTTTAGGAATGACAGGCTCTAGTAATGAAGTCGGACTGGCCAGGCTACAGCTCATTCTGATGATTATCTGGGACAATCAGGTTCTGGTGTTTCCATCACCAAACAACACCGCATCGTTTTACCATAATGTATGATGCATAGATTCAGGGGATGGGCAATTCAAAAAGAGGCCAGTGCAGTATAGTTCAGCAGTGACTGACGCAGTAGTTCCATCAGCAAGGTGGGATCGATTTTGCATCCTATATGTTTTCTTAGCCATTAAGTGATTGGCAGCCTGGTAGTGAACATTTGGGCTAAATTACGTGATATTTGAGCACGCATGAAGCACTTCCAAGCAAGCAAGACCTGTAATTGTGTGGTTAACTCTGTACGACCTTCCTACCGCAATCGTTTTGTAGGTTTGTCTTACTGGCCAACAAAACGTTTTCGATATTCGGCCAAAAAAAATCTACAGTATATATTCACACACCCAGTCAGTAGCTCCCAACAGTTTTATCCGCACCTTGTTCAGTGTTTTTTTATCCGCAGAGAGGCAAGTGACTACAGATTATTCAACTGGATAGTTCAGTTACGAGGTTGCGCATCAGAAGCAATAAATATTTGTTGAAGTTTCACCTTTTGCGGAAGTAATCACTAAGGGGAAGTTTCACACCTGAACATTTTTTGTACTCCTTTCGAGCTCTTAAGCGAACTCAAAGTCTTTCAGTGCGGTAGCCATGACTATGTTTGTATCTGATGAATTATTTATTCCGAACTTCACCAATCATAACGTGCCTCTCACAAATTGTTAGGCAAACGTGGTGCACAGGCAATGCGTTTGGTCACCGATTTCGATCAATTACCGGGTCCAGTTATTTCCGACTCAATAAATCAAACTGAGACAGCCAATGCGACTGACAATATAATAGGTATCACATTCTGTGTGCTCCAATTGCCCTGATTTACTTGTGAAAATGACGACAGATCTACGGGCAGTTCCTGATATACAAATGAATTGCGCGTGGCGGAGAGTGTTATCTTACTCTGAGATACAATCTCGTAGCTGAGGAAAAGCCCGTTTTTATCAGAAACACAGTTAAAATACTAAGCGTCAACACACAACAAATTTCACTTCAAGGAGCCACTGGTTAAGTTAAATATGATGAGGCAAAATCGCCCACTGGCAACACAACTAAGAATAAGGATACAAAGTTGTCATACGTACTCACCAGATAAATCCCCAGAAGTATTTCGCCTGGCTTAGTGTGAGCACACGTTCCGTTTGTACCGTTACGAATGGCTATGATGGATATGGGGTGCCTAGGATGTCAGTGCAGTACAGGCCATAGACCGCTTGGGACGCACGTATCCATAGAACGGATATTCTAAACGGTCCATACTCAAGAATATGCAATTTGTAAAACCCACACCTAAACAATGTCCATTTGGGGACATTCAAAGGTGGCTTGGTTGCTGAACTATTCGCCAGAAGACTTAGAAACTCTGTTAATGCAGTATGCATAGCTGCTTATCTGTGCTTGAGCTTCATTTCCACCATCAGGTTCCGTTTGAGGGACAAACTACCACGTTCTACCACAAGCTTTTGTGTGTACTCATTTATATGCTCGTGTGTAGTATCATACGTCGGTAGCAAGACAGGACATTAGTCAAACAGAATATGCATTGTTTGGCGCTTGTTGCGTTTTCCGCTTGATATGAATTGCGTTCATTCCGAAATCTTTCTAGGACTGTTTTTTGAAGCCTTTCGTGGTGCCATCAATAATTCAATTTGAGGCCAGATACCATTCACTTTGTGGAAGTTGGGGTGCTCACAGCTGGTGTTTTTTCCCCGATGGTCAAGGTTACTCTAAATTTACATGCGTTCTTTGATTCGTAACGTATGAAGTCTGAATTCAATAAAAACAGCTATTTGGTTTGAGATTCTTGCAAGTGGAAATCCGGAATCACTAAATACGACAACAATTCACCTATTTTTGGAACCAGATGGTGACTATAAACATTAAAAATTCTATGTTAAGTGGTCCGTCAAACACGCATCATTTATTTCCAGTCTTTGTAGTTGACAGGTCCGGTAAAACGAGATAGTTTATTTTTAAGTGAAGAGCTGTACGATGGTTTGATAAAAGTTGGATTAATTGTATGAACCGAAAGGTTTTTCAGACAGATGACGGTCACACACCTTTGGGGGTTTTGCATGGTTGTTTGTAAGTAATCTCGTAACTTGTGGTGGACAAGTCTATGCGGTGACGATC